AGCATCAATGTTTAGTTGGTGCCACACTCATCATGATTTAATTGTATCGTGAAAAATTAGCTAATGTGATAAATTATAGTTTCAATGGCATTGATGGAAAGATATGTACTATAGTATCTTGAAAAAAAGATCTTCAAAAGTAATATTTTCTTTGGTAAGCTAAAGTAAGCATGGCTGAACATGATAACTTCTTCAAATTCTGATTAAGGAAACAAATATATCAACATTCAAAAAATGAACAGAAAAGAATGTAGAAAGAAAATGCGTTGCTTTCGATCATGATTAAACACTCTAAACATCTCCGTGGCAAGTAGGGGAAGAAGCATTTGTGGTTTTTCCTGATTTCAATTTAGTAAATGCCCATTATGTTTTGTTCTTCCATGGACTCATTTATTTCATGTTTTGTACAAATTCCTTATATTCAAACTCCTAACTCAAACCCAGTTGGTTTTTACTATATTCACATCTCAACTACTAGAAACCCCAAATAAATACTGATATTTCAATGGGACGCTAAATGCTTAAAACCCCAGCTATGACATTAACTCATTATCTACCAATATTATATCTTTTTCCATTGGAAACACATAATCAATACTCTATTTAAACTAACAAAACTTATTTCCATTTAAAGCCTTAAAAATAAACCAACAAAAATCAGATAAAATGAAAATTTGGGACCCCTAGCTATAATTAGTCCTTATTATTTGAGTTTCTAGAGCATAAAATGCAAAACCCTTTCAAAGAATTGAACTTCTAGAAAACCCATATAAGAAAAAATTGGGATTATAAAGGAAATGATTACCACTCGACACGACCCCAGAAATCAAAACAAATTAATGAGTGCAAATGTAATATAGTGAAAGACGGACAAAGAAAAATTAAAACACATTGAGAGAGAGAGAGAGAGATCAGAGGGAAGAAATACCTGTTGAGAAATTTCATTTTGCAGAGATGGTCTTGGTTTCATTGTTAAAGGTGGGTCTTGAGAAGCAGATACTTTTTTTTGAAGGTTGGTTTCATTGTTGAAGGTGGGTCTTAAAACACATATATAACATGCTGCTTCTTTTTTTTTTCAGATACTTTATTTTTTAATTAACATTTGTTTGGTGTTTTAGTGAGTACCACAGTTAGGACCCCAAAGTGAAATCATCTTCACCTGATGTTCTAGAATTATTATGAATCATTTGATCAACACACAAAACAGAGAGGAAAAATAAGCAAAGCATTTTTTTTTCTAGAAAAATAGAGAGTAAAAAAAAAACTCAGATTTGAAAAAAAAATACAGCAATTTGCAAAAACTCAAATTTGATTATGTCTCTTCAAAATCCATTACAAAACTCATATTTTAATAAGATTGAAAACCCTTTACAAACCATGTGTCCAATACAAGGGGAAAAAAATATATATATATATATTCTCTTTCCAGCCCTAGAAAACATAGAAACAACAAATCAAGAAGCAAAAGGTCCAAATCTAGAGAACCATTTCGTCAAAAAACACTACAAAGAAACCCAAAA